AACACCTATTTCAGACAAACACACTCTGTATGTCTGCTCCTTAGGTGAGGGCACCAGCAAGGCTACATGAGTCTGCACCGGCAACCTCAACAGTACTACCTGCTGTATCAGTGCACCATGGCAAACACTTTACACCTTCGGAACAGATGCTTTTGACCTTCCTAGTACTGCTGCTGACCTTCACCAGCCATGCTTATCTTTCAGTAGCTTCAACACCACAATACAACTCTTTGGTGCCAATGGCACCCTGACAGTACCCCAGTTGAGCCTTTCTACTGCTCCAGCAGGATCAAGCCTTCCACTATCACATGAGGAGGAGGAAATATCTTGAGTCGTACACACACCTAGACCAGTGCAGCAATCTGCACAGTGATGGCCCCCCAAGAGCTATTTCCACCAATGCCAGTATCACCTAATTGGTCCTATGGGCTGGTCAGCAGCCAGCCCTCTCACATAGATCACTGGGTATTTTTGGCAGAGAGATCAAGTATGTGTGTCCATCTAACCATCCCAGAGTGCCCAAATCTGACTTTACACCACTGCAAGATACATCAAGCAGACCTCAAATCACAACACTGGTATTGTCTGATTAATTACCATAGGCATAGACTGTGCCCTACCAATCTAGAAAATCCTGATACCGAGCAGGAAATAACCAGAAAGACTTACTTATCAAAATAGGATCGAATCTCAATATGGACATCCAAACGGGGCCAGAGCCAGTGCAGGCATCTGTACTGAAGATCCTCAACTATTTCTTATATTTGAAGAGCTTTTGAGGTACAAAGCTTGTGTGTCTTGCCAAGAGAAGTTGGTGTAGTAAGAGATTGCCTCCCCCACCTTGTGTCTCTAATATGCTGGGTCTGACACAGCTACAACACTGCATGTAGTAGACTGATACTCCCATCAAGCCTTGCTTCATTGAAATTAGAAGGCTTGATAAGTTCTTCTGCTGAAATCTAATTTGGTTTGTTAGTGGATTGATCTACTTATGCAGAGCCCTATTCCTGTATGCCTCTGAAGATTCACTGAAGATTAGCTTTTTTCTCAATGATCTAAGGAGAAGCACTTTAGAAAAACTTTCCGTTGATATCAGGAGGAGAGTATGTGCCCCCCTCTCCCTCCTTTGTATCCTATCCCATAACAGGGCAGCAAAACAAATACATTCTACATCCAGCAGTTGGTTAAAGTGGAGCTAAAATTTCAGGCATTTGGCAGTGGTTGATGTATACATTTCCTGTCAAATATTAAAAAAAAAATTATTAAAACACAGAATTTAGCAACCCACAAAATTTAGACTTCGGGTTAAGAATCCAAAGTTTGAAGATGTAACCACAACTCTGAACTAGCTTTCTAATGCTTTTTTATTTAACTATCAATATTGTTGAAAGGTAACATACATTATAGGCATTTGTTAGTAGTGTAAACTTTTACTTCAGTTTAACAACAAATTTATGTGGCATCTTGGTGAAAGGGAAAACTTTTTATTCAGTCCAATAACCAATTGTTTTTCCCATCTAGTTTAAACTTATCATATATATTTTTAAACCAAACATTTTATTATTGGAGGCAAAAGAAAAAGGCTTTCCAGCCTCTATTTAGAACAGTGGTATCCAACCTTTTGAAGCACAAGATCACTTTCGGAATTTGTCAGTTCAGGATCTGCCTCAAACCCAAATACCTTGCCCCATTTCCTTCCCTTCCCCTTCTCCAAGGCCGCATGCTGCTTATTCTGTGGAGATGGGGTACATGGATTGGAGGAAGAGGAAACCCTAACATCTCAGCAACCCTGTCCTCAGTCTCCCCCACCATGCACAGCAAGAAGAAAGCTCCCGGTAGGCAGCTCCCAAGCAGCATGGTGGGAGTGGGGAGCGGGGTAGCTGAAGTACTGGCACTTCATAACCTCCCAACCAAACCAGTCAGGATCACCTCTCAGACACTAAAGGATCTACCAGTAAATCCTGATCTACTAGTTGGTGACCACTGATTTAGAGCCTCTGAATTAATCTTAAAGGTAATATCTGTTTTATAACTAAAGCAGTTTATTTTAACCCACTTACCTGACACCTAAGTATGTATCATACCTCTTGTTTTGAAGAGATTATCAAGTGTTATTTGTTCTGTGACTAACTTATTCTGAACATGTCTAGATAAAGCAGAGAGCTGATCAAAATAAAAATTTTTTAAAGTAGCCCTGGGCAACCCCGGAAGGGGTGGGGCTGAAACGGGAAGTTGGGGGGGGGAGAGGCTAAATGGGAAGGGGTAGGGCTTTCCCACCCCCACCCCTGATTGGTCTGGGGGTGGGGGAGTCCCTGTGCCCCCTTCCCACTAGGCACCCATGCCCTGGCCAATCAGGATGGGAGATCACGGGAAGCCTCCTCCAGCCCTACAAGGAGCACGTGGCACTTTGAAGTGCTGTGGGGTCATCTCAGGGCAGGGGCAGGGCGAAAGAAGCTTCATGTAGCTCCCCTGCCCCCCCCAGGCCTTCAAAGCACCATTTGCTCCTGGCAAAGGGGAGGAGGCTTCGTGCACTCCCCAGGCCCTAATTTGTCTGGGGGCAGGGGAGTAGTAGGGCCTCCATGGCCTGGATCCCTCTGCTTGGCGGGCCGGATCCGGCCCACGGAGGCCCTTTTGCTCACCCCTGGTATAGAACTTAGGTCTTTGGCGTCCCAGTTCAGTGTCTTGAGCATAAGGTCAACATTCCTCTTCCCGACATAAATGGTTAACACAATGATCATTCTACTCTGCCTGCCTCTGTGAGTTCAGTTTGAAATCACATACCAATTGGAATCATTCCTTTTACAAAAAGCTTTCTAAATTATCTTATTGAGAAACGTCAAAACACACTGGGTATGTCTACACTACAAAGTTAATTCGAACTAACGGACATTAGTTCTAATTAACTTTGATAGGCGCCACACTAGCGCTCCACTAGTTCGAACTTAATTTGAACTAGCGGAGCGCTTAGTTCGAACTAGGTAAACCTCATTGTACGAGGACTAAGCCTAGTTCGAACTTACTAAATTGCTACTAAACGCTAATTCGAACTAGTTTTTTAGTCTGGATGCGTTAGTTCGAATAGCTTAGTTTGAATTATCTAATTCGAACTAAGTTAGTTCGAATTAGCGCTGTAGTGTAGACATACCTAATCAGATTTTAGAATGAAAATTGGACAAGCTTTATCTGTCATTGCACTGTATACGGCAGTTTACTTAAGGATTTCAAAGTATGAAAGTAATAGAAAATGCTAAAACCAAAATTAACTTTGTAACTTGTATAACCTTATTGTTAAATTTACAGGACAGAAAAAGAGTTTTCGTCAGTATCATGTACAGTTTTTTGGTGATGCTCCAGAACGAGCTTGGATATTTGAGAAGAGCCTTGTGTCATTTAAAGGAGAAGAACAGTTTGAACAATTATGCCAGGAAAGTGCAAAACAAGCCCTCACTAAAGCTGAGAAAATAAAGGTAAAAGATGAGAAAACAATACTTTGTTGAAGTTTTTCTTACATTGTTATAGAAACATGTCATCTGATACTGAACCACTGGAAAAACACACTCCAGAAAACTTTCATGATTGTTTGCTTTACAGAATTTTATAGGTTTTTTTTTTTTAAACAGACTACGTGGCAGCTCAGTCAGTTTGCATTACTTTTTGCAAATTAGCACTGCATTTCATGTCACTGATTCATGCATAGAAAGACTTATTTAGTAGTTCTTCCTTTATATCGGGGCCATTCATACAAATGCCATTGGAATCTTTGGAAAAGACTGTGCTTAATCTTCTTATAATCAGTTTTAATTTGTATTGGTGTTTTATAGTAATAAAAGTAAATGTCCCACTCTGGCTTATATTTTTCTTGCAGATGTTAAAGCCTGTTTCTGGAAAACTGCGGCCTCAGTGGGAGATGGGCATTAAGCAAGCCAGCGAAGCACTAGGCATGGCAGTGGAAGAACGGAAAGCCAAGTTCACTTTTATCTACATTAGGGACAGACCTCATCTTAATCCTCGAGTGGCAAAGGAGGCTGGTATTGCTGTGGAACCATTAGAGGAAATAGATGAGTCCTCTTACTCGAACCAAGAAACCACTCAAAGTCTGAAATTGATGAAGGAATCTGGCATTCCTAGCAAGAGGAGGAGGAGGACATCAAAACTGCCTTCAACTGATACAAAAGAAAGTGATCAGTTAGGGACTAAGACTACTACCCTACAAAAGGCATATGAACAAGGAGAAACCAAAAGAGGGACAGGTTCTCCCATCAATAGAAAGAAAGCTGCAGCATCTACTCCACGAAGCAGAAAGGGTGATGCGGTATCTCAGTTTTTGGTCTTTTGTCAGAAGCACAGAGATGAGGTTAGTGTTTTGTTGCACTAATAAATGTCTCCTCCTTCTGTTAACTTACATAACATCTGAAAAGTGAAGTATTTATTTTTTTGTTATGATGACATCCAAAACCTACAATAGGTTCTACATATATTTAAATAAAACAATTCCTGTCTCAAAGAGTTTATAGTCTTAAACACACAAAGAAAAAGTAGAGGTTGGATCTCCCTGGTTCAGCACCCTTGGGACCTGACCAATCCCACATGAGGGATTTTGCCAGGCCAGCGGAGGTCATTTCTGGCTCCCTTTCCACTGATCCTTCCTCCCCCCATCCCAACCCCTGGCCTGGCTCTCCACCATCTGCCGGCCCTGCTGCCCTGGAAACCCTACTGAGCAGTCATGTGCTGCCATGACTCCGGGACTGGTCGGACAGCCTAGTGTCAGTTTGTAGGCAGCCCACTACCCTGTTGTCCCTGCAGGAGTCCCTGCTTCTGGTCCTCCATTGGGATTCTCTGGTCCTGCAACATCTCTGCTGGACCACAGATGTTGCCAGACCAGAGAGTCCTGGTTTAGAATGTTTTAGCTCATAGTGGTGAGGCTAAAGAAGCAATAGAACATATAATAAAGTGATTGTCACAGTATAGCTTGCTAGTGCCATTTTTTGTTAATTTATGTAGAGCAAAAATATTTATCCCTAATGACCTTTTAATAGTCACTAGTTTCTCTTGACATTTATTTTTAACACACAAACTTATGTTCCCAAGTACCATTTTGGTTTTCTGTTTCTCCTTATGGCTTTACCTACCTATTCCCTGTAGGTAAATGGGTTTCTTCATCTCTAATTGTTCCCTTATGTTTCAATTCCCCAAATGTGCTCTGATCCTAGGAGGGAAGGTAAAGTTGCAGTCTTTTAAAAACAAAAAAATCACACACCCGAACAGTTGTCCTAAATCTATGGAGATCTGTAATTATATGGGTTGTAATGGACTGTGAACAAGCCCTCCTGACCCTGTCAAGAGTAAGGATGATATTGCATTTAAATGATAGTCTTGCTCGGCATCCTGTAGTAAATCTGTTACAGCCAAAAAATGAGCCTAGCTCTCTTGGATCCTAAGCCATTGCCTTAAATACAGGAACATTAGTTCTCTTCCTGCAAACTGATACCTTCACCTGTTTTTTCTGTGCACTGAATGAGGCACGTTTTCTCTAGAACAAATATCTTCTCATGTAATAAACTCTTGATTATATTACCTTAACACTTTTTCAACAGTTAATATAATTTCCCAAGCTTTTAGAAGAATGAAACACAAATTACATTGTGTAGAACCACGTTGACTATGTGCAGTATGTGTTCTCACAAGACTTGAATCCAGGAATTTTATGGATCTCTGCCATTTAAGGTGAAGGAATCACTGTTATCAACAGTAGGCTTTTGTCTTCTGTAGTGTCTAGCCACTACAGAAGAACATGATATAAGTTTTCCTAATCGCTTAATCAGCTATTTGCTAGGCAGTCAGAGAATGCTTGGAATCTGAATTTCTGATTCTGGAGATGCAAGTGCTCCTGTTCTTCTAGACAGCTTAGTCAAGCACATAGATTTTAGCATTTTAATTCTGAAATTAAAAGGGGATGAGATGTAGGTCTGCCATGTTAGAGAGTTGGTTTGCATTTTCAGCTCTGCTAAAAGTCCCCTTTTGCCACCTCTGTAAAATAGCAGGTAGGCATATAGCTTTCCTCCTTCTTAGGGTTATAATATCTATAATAATTGTATTCTAATAATAAAGGCTGTAAGATAAATTAAATTGTCAGTAGCAAGTTGTTGAAGGAGCTGAGACTACAACTTGCTGCTGTAGCTTAAGATTCATCTCCTTCAAATTACCAGTAATGTCAATGAGATAGTAAAACTTGAGTAACCAGTCAGTCTGGAAGCTTGATGTGTTTGACAGCCTTCATATCCAAAAATGGCTTAATCTCATTAATGCAGTGGCAAAACGAGACTAAACTTTGCCATGAGATAACGAGCAAACATTGTGCATTAGTAGATTGAGGCATTCAGAATCTACTTCCTTGAGCAGTGACTGAAATTGATGGTGATTAAGGGCTTGAGCAAGAATCCAGTTGACAGTGTGAACCATGAGTCCCATTACATTTCCACGTTCAGTTCTGCAAGATTGCGCACAAAGTGCTTCCTGATGCACAATGCAATCAAAGTCAAAAGTAGGGATGTTAAAGACTAGTCAGCTATCTGATAAGCATTGCTGGGGACTCTTGTACATTTCAAAGCAGGCACCCACCTGCAGCCCGGTGTCAGCGGAGTTCCTGCTGGGGCTCTTGTACATTTCAAAGGAGGAATTCGGAAGTGCCTATCAAGTAGGCTAGTCAATTAACTGCATTTTAACATTCTTAGTCAAAAGCAAGTGATTCAGCTGTTCTCACAAGAGTAAGGAATCTCCTGTATTTGCTGACAATGATAGGTGCGCCATCTGTACACAAGATTATCCAGCTGTGTTTTTTCTCGTTTACAAAGTTCATCACCATTTTAAGGATCAAACAATCCCTTGTTTGATTTTTCATTAGTAATACCTCAGTCATTTCTTCGTGCACAGCATTTCCACGTATATATTGTCCCGGAATACACAATTGATTAACGTTCACATGTTGGTTGTCTTGACCAAAGCAAATGAAAAATAAGTAGCTATACTCAGATTTTGCATTTTTTCCTTGTCGATTTGATGGGCCATTTTCACAGCTCTGTCATGTACTGTTTTTGCTGATACGGCATGTCTTGAATTAGCTGCAACATTTTATCCTTGTGAAACTCTTCAAATAGTTCATGACCAATTTTTAGCATGCAACTCTTCATGTAATCCCCATCAGTGAAAGTCTTCCCCTCTCGAGTAATGTATGAGCCCAGAAAACTTGTGGAGTTTAAGATTCTACCTTTTTTTGACCATGCCCAGCAAGCTATTTTGTCCAATGTTCTTTTTTTTGCTGCAGCTCCCCGCAGGCTTTTTTTTCATGCATCACCGTCGGGATATTTTGTAGCAAATGCTGCAAGTTTTGTCATGAAATTCTTTGTTTTGTTTTGTTTTTTGTTTGAGAACAGGCTCTCACTACAAATGAGACAGTGTGTTGATTCAGACCTATCCACAACTTCATACAAGTCTGTCAACTCGCTTTGAAAATTTTAGTACTTGACCCCTTTCTTTCTCTTTGCCATTTTTGCTGCTAGAGGGTTATAGAGTTTACTATCACGTATGATGATGGAAAGTTTTCTTAACCAATTAAATAAAAAGACCCCCAATGAGTGGAGAGGATGGATGGTTGTTAAAATGAACCGTTATAGGTGAAAAAAATCACTCTGACATGAGTAATTACATGGTTTTTAAAATTTTGAATTAATTTTTTCATTTGAATTAAAATTTGTGTATTTTGGAAATGACAAAAGAGCCATGAGTTTGGGGATGTGGGAGATAAGGGGGCTCTGGGCAGGGGGTTCAGGTGTATGAAGGGCTTAGGGTTTGTGTGTGGAGCGGTGCAGGGGTGTTACGACTCTGTGGCCAGATGGGGGCTGATGTGACCCTCTACTGAAACACTTCACCCCCCCCGGACCTCCAGACCCATTGTGGGGGGGCAGGGCAGAGAGGATTGAGGTTCAAGACCTCAGGCCAGATGTACTCTTCTAGGGTTCCAGGGTTATTGGATTTTGTAGGCTCCCCTAGTCTCTAGGTTGGGGGCCAAAAATGAGGTGTTAAGTGTTCAGGACAGGGCTGCCAGTGAATGGGATAGGGATGAGAGTGTAGGATCTGGATGGGAGGTGGGGTGAAGGAGGAGGTTAAGATTACAAGATCTGGCCAAGGAGCAGGCTGCCTGGCCAGATGGCAAAGGGTCTCTGGCCAGAGAGCTGAGGGTAGCCTGTCTGGCCATGAGGTATCTGGCCAAGGGGCTGGAGGTTGGCTCTTTGTCCGGGGAAGAGTGTTAGCAAGGGGGTAGGGATCTGGGCATGGGGGGGCACTTAATTGTTTTTGCGCCATGCAGCAAGCACTGTGTATCATGCCTCTTACTGCTCCCATTCCCTGGAAGTAAGCCTTCAGGAAGGGTTTGCAGGGAAATGTTTCTGGGAGAAGGAAGAGGCAGTGCATATGGATCCATATTTGGTTTCTGGTTTCCGACACGCAGGGGAAGGAAAAGAGCAGCGCATGGAGCCATATTTTGTTCCACTTGTTCCCTGCGCGCTGGATCCAGTGGGGCGGTTTGGAGCTTTTTCTCACCATCTGTGTCTGCAGGAAGCTGGTGTTGGCATTCTAATCATACTGGGGGCCATAAGGCTGTAGCAACAGCGCTGGCTCCTAGCTATGGGGGGCGGGGGGAGCAAGAGACGGCTGAGCTGGGGCTCCAGAAGAGCCATATTTGACTCCCTAGTGAGCCATAGATTGCCAACCTCCTGTCTAGTATTTCTTCTTCTATTGCTCTGAATCAGTGACCTGTCCTCTTCGTTATTTACCACTTCCCTAATTTTTGTGTTACCTGCAAACTTTCAGTCTCTTCTAGGTCAATGATCAAAATGTTAAATAACATATGACTAAAACCAATTCATTGAGTATCTTGCTAGACACACATGCAGTTGATGACATTTCCCCATTTATAATTGTATTTTGAAATGTATTGATTAGCCAGGTATTGTTTAATATGTGCCATGTTAATTTTATATCATTCTAGTTTTCTTAATCAAATATGTGGTAATAAGTTAGATGCCTTACAGAACATGATTTTCTTTTATCAACCAAACCATAATTTTATTAAAAAAAAAATTAATTTGAAAGGATTTATTATCTGTAAACCTATGTTGATTACTTACATTACCTTCCTTTAATTTTTTAGTAATACAATCCTGTATCAGCCATTCTAATGTTAAGTTTGCCTAGCATCAATGTAAGGCTGATAGGCTTATTATCAGGGCTCGGCAAGCCCCTCTCACCAGCCACGCGGTTCTGCACACTGCACATGCGCAGACTGCTCTGCACGGCTGTGCCAGCTTGTAATCTACTTGCTACGAGCGAGTAGATGACGTTAATTGTCAAGCCCTGCTTATGATTACCCAGGTTATTAACCTCTTTGAAAAATTTACGTAATATTAGCTTTCTTCCAGACTCCTGGCTCTTCCTGAGTGTTCCAACAGTTTTTGAAAATCAGCATTAATGATCCTGGAAGCTACTGAGTCAACTGTTTTAAAACCCTTGAATGCAAGTTATTTGAACCAGTTGATTGAAATTGTTCAGCTTTAGTATCTTCTATTTAACATCTTCTAGAGATAAAAGTTGAATTGAAACCGAGTTCTCATCACTATCTGATAAGGCTATATTATGTTTTCTCCAAATACAAGCCAGAAATATATATTGAACATTTGTCTTACACTATTATTGAGAATTGTACCATTTCCATCTTGTAATGAACCAATACCATTTTTTGTTCCAATATATTTTAAAGATTTCCTTCTTAACTTTAATTTTGCTAATCATTAATTTTTCCTTGTATTCCTTTGATACAGTGTCTGTGTTCCACAATTTCTAAAAAAATTTAAAGACTCTCACCTGGTTTAGCTTTTTCTCTTCTGCTTTGTGAAATTGGTCCTCCGATATTGTGCCCAGGGATAGGGTGATAGCTGGAATAAACAGCAGTGCCAAATGATGGCTGCTTGAACATTGGGCTAGCCCAGCTATTGTATATTTCAAGGAGGTGGCCTTTTCTAAAGAGGAGCATTGTCTGTTGATTTTGGGTATTTATTTTATGCTGATTTTTACTAGCAGGTAGATACGTGGATCTCTTTCACAAACTATGGCTCTTAAACTTTCCTTGGCTGCTTGAGTTTTTTGGTATGTAGGTCGGGGCCAAACTCAGGGTGATTTGGTGTATAATATTCTCTGATCTGGGGGCAGAGAGGAATTCTTATTTCTGATTGTCATTGTATATATTCATTTGTAGAATGCTGACAACTCTCAACAGCAGTCCATGCTTATGACTGATTTTATGCAGTGTGGGATAATGAGAACTGGTTTATAACACATGTGAGCTGGTGTCAGTAATAATGGACATAACAGGATAGACTTGTGCTAACACACTGATACTTTGTCTTTGTATTTGTGTGCCATTTACAGTATTTAGGTTTAATTGAAAACCTAGAGCTTGTCTGAAAATTGACAAGCTTGGATTGTCTCTAGTACTAATGTGTAGAAAGGAAGGCTCTGATGTTAGTCTTGATGAGGTGTTGGGAAGACCAGGAAAGTGATACGTTAGGTTTAAATGTATGTCCAGTTGCATGTGTAGGTGCAGAAACTTCCAGGAGAATCCCATGGTTTTCATATAGGCCAGTAGGTCACGTATTGTTGTATAATTTGCATTTTATATATGGCGATTCAGGCAACAGGACAAATAATTAAGGAGATCAGGTACTATTGGACAGTGATTCTAACTTCTTCCAGGATTCTGAGAAGGTTTCTACAGGCAGTCCCCGGGTTACGTACAAGATAGGGACTGTAGGTTTGTTCTAAAGTTGAATCTGTATGTAAGTCAGAACTGGCGTCAGCCGCTGCTGAAACTGATCAGTTTCAACCGCGGCTGAATCTGGATGCCAGTTCTGACTTACATACAGATTCAACTTAAGAACAAACCTACAGTCCCCATCTCGTACGTAACCCAGGGACTGCCTGTAATTGATTTTGTTCTTGGTGAGTTAATCATATAATTACAAATTAGTAGATTATTTTATACTGGAAAATTGTTCCAGGAATTAGGTCACTATCACACACACACACACACACACACACACACACACACACACACACCCTAACACAGCAGCTGGGGTGCTGCCGGGTTGATCCGGAGCAGCGCTGCCGGACCAACCCGGCAGCCCCCAGCTGCTCTACCCCAGGGGTAGGCAAGAAAAGCCTGGTCTGCTGGGGGGGGCACTAGCTGCACCCCCCCCCCAGCAGACCAGGGGGACAGGAGCAAAGCCTTGGAGCATGCTCGCAGCGGGACAGCCCAAGCGCGTCTGGGCTGTCCCACTGCGGGCGTGCTCCAAGGCTTTGCTCCCCGTCTCCCTGCAGACCAGGGAGACGGAGAGCAATGCCGCGGAGTACGCCCGCAGAGGGACAGCTCAAGCGCGCCCGGGCTGTCCCGCTGCGGGCGTGCTCCGCAGCTTTGCTCCTGTTCCCCTGGTCTGCTGGGGGGGTCCAGCAAAGCCGCTGGACCCCCCCCAGCAGACCAGGGGGACAGGAGCAAAGCCGCCCAGGCAGCGGTACTCCCGCCGCCTGGGCGGCTTTGCTGGACCCTCCCAGCAGACCAGGGAGACCGGGAGAAGCTTTTCTCGCTCCGGAGGACATGGGTGGCGACCTGCTGTCCGTGAGTTCCGGGGCGAGAAAAGCCCCATTCATAAGTGCGGATCCGACATAAGTCGGATCCGCGTAAGTCGGGGACTGCCTGTATATGGATGTCTGAATACCACTAGAAATTAGGGATGTTAGATGTAATGTAACCACACAAAATGCTATTGGTTACATGACTATTCAGTAGTTCCCAGGGGTGGGGCTAGCAGCCAGTATGCTCCCAGCCCTGCTCCCGTGTAGCTCCCTACCATGCTGCACTGCTGCCTTTTTATCAGAGGCAGCAGTGCAGGGTGGCAGGCAGAGCCAGTCTGCAAGAGGAGCCAGCTTAAAAACCATTTCGCTACCGGTTGCCTGCTGCTCCACGCTGCTGCCTCTGATAGAGGCAGCAGCACATGATGGCAGCAGCCCATGTCCACTGTGGTCCCAGGTTTGCCGTGGACAGAGGCTGCTCCATGGGATGCATAGCAGCCTCTGTCTGCTGAGAGCTCGGACCCCACGTGGACAGGCGTTGCTGCTGTGAAGCTGCCTGGGCCCAGACATGCTGCGCACAGAGGCTGCTTTGCAGCAGTCTTCCCCCCCCAGCCTCCCTACTCTCAGCCCCTGCTGTCTTTGATACAGAGGCAGCAAAGGGGTGTGTGAATGTAGTCGACAAGCTTAAGAAATAAACTTAGGCTTATCGGTTAATGGTATAGTGGACTACATACTGACATCCCTACTAGGAATCCTAATTGTGTTTTGTCCTTCTCCTCATAAATCATATAGATGCACTCAAATATTTTTCTCCTGGGTGGGAGAAATATTTTTGTCTTGACTGGGATGTGTTCTGCAACTTCAGTGGTTTGGGAATAGCTCTGCTACCCTTCCTCTCTCCCACTACCCTCCTAAGGTGTCTGTCTTTGAATTGTGATTTATAGAGTAAGTGTTCTCAACCTTTTTTTATTCTTCCACCCCATGCTATAAAATCTCCAGGATCCAGCGGGGGCAGGAGCCTCTGGACTTCACAGGCTGGAGTGGGGGATTTGGGGCTCCCAGCTTTAGCCACAGAGTGGGAGGAGGGCCGGTTGGGGCTCTGGACTTCAACCGCTGGGTGAGGAAGGAAGGTTGTAGCACTGTGGTGATGTGGGGTTTTGGGCTTCTGCTCTTCTAGAGTTGGAGGCTTTTGCCTTTCGGGGCCTCTTGTTGTTCCTGGGCCGTGGCATGGTTTGGGGTGGCGGAGCAGGCGCCGGCCCAGGAGCATCAAGTGAGCGCGCAGTGGGTCCAGCATGCGGCGGCTGCAGGCAGGGAAGGGTGCCCGGCTGGATCGCGCAGGAGTAATGAGCAACAAGCACCATGCCCTGACCCTGCTCCTGTGAACCGTGGCCACCTGCAGACTCCTGCTGCTGCTGGCCGCTGAGTCCTGCGCCACCACTTGCTCCAGGCTCCTTCCCTTTGTCAGCCCAGGCTGGGAGCCTCCCACCTTGCACCTCTGCTGGGGATGCCTCTGCCCCGGCTCTGGAGCGTTTCCGGCTACTGCCCCCCTTGTAAGTTTCCCCGCATTGTTCGGTCGCGGGCTGGGAGCCTAACCCCTCACACCGTAAATACACCCCCGCACTCTAAATATACCCCCGGCACAGTCTTATATACTCTTGCAGGTTATACTCATTCACGGGGTATACAAGATTTTTTTTTACTGAAACAGCAAAAACCGCAGGGTATGTTCGGGTGCAGGTTGTATTTAGGTGGGGTTATATTCGCTAAAATACGGTACTTCAGTGGAATCGATGAAGGTCACCATTTGTTTGTTCCTGTATTGTTGGTCTATTTTTTATTATGGTATTTATTTAAAAAAATGTACAAGGATTTTTTTCATTGATGTGATTCAGCTGTACTCAGTGTTTAGCATGTTAAAAGGTGTCCAAGGTAAATTTTTTAGAATTACTTCCTGTACTTTATAATAAAGTCTTTGTGGCAAAAACCTTAGTTTTAGGGCTAAATGGGACATGCTGGAAATCTGTACTCTTAATGGTTCACAAATATAGTAGAAATTTTAAATGGGTTTGTGTGTATAAAACCACTGCATTAGAATAATACAGATGTGTACAACACTTTAAAATTTTCTCTTTAACATATACCTCTATTGTTGTATAAACAGGTGGTTGCTGAACATCCAGATGCTTCAAGTGAGGAGATTGAAGAACTGCTTGAATCGCAGTGGAACATGCTTAGTGAAAAACAGAAAGCTCGCTATAACACAAAGTTTGCCATAGTGACCTCTCCCAAATCTGAAGAAGACTCTGGTAAACGTAAAACTGTGCTAGTGTACTCTAACTAAATTTCATATACATAGTGATGTTAAACTAAGCACATATTTGAGACCTGTAGGGGAAACAGCAATTGTTTTCTGGTTTTAATTCTTGGTGTTTGTGCCAATAGGAAAAGAATGCCAATGGTTACAATAAAATCAATCCATGAAGTCTACATTCCTTGCTCATTGTTCTGCGAAGTTGTTATATGTAAACATTCTACTGTTTAGAGATTGGTGGTTTCTCATTCTTCTTCTGCCCATAAGCAGCTGCCATTATCTCTACTGCTCACTAAATGTGGGTAGTGAGACTGGGAAGACAAGGCATCTTTTTTAATGTAAACTTATGGGTTCTTAAGAATAGTTAGTGGTTTATAAAATGTAACCAGTACTGTCCTTTCTTTATTCTCTCTGTCACACACAGTTAAAAAAAAGTGTTACCTCATAACACCAGCTCAGGAAGCAAGTATTCCATACTTTATTCTGAACCTTTTTTCCATTTTGGCATTTTATTGTGGTACTGCAAAGCTTTTAGGCCAGCATAATAAACTGCAGAATACTATTTTGCTGTTGGCTAAGATTCATGGTCTTTATAAACAACAGTTTATTTAGGATTTTGATATAATTTGAGTTTTTTCCTTTGAGTATCTTCCTTGAGAAGGAAGAATGAAGGGTGTGTGGCATTTACTTGATTCTTCTAAGTCCACTTATAAATGTCTGCTAGTGTTTTACAGCACTACAGGAAGGCCTGCTGTGGAAGTATTTAAAGCTATCAGGTGCTGCTTTGGGCATTTACAAGAATGAGAGGGAGTGTTTGAAAGATTGTCAGATTTGGAAAAAAAAATGTATAAAATGGCAGTCAGTTGTGTTATCTTTCTGTGTATGAAATAATATTTTGTGGAAAATTGACAATTTTAAGTGTCAAATATTTGGATTTAAAAAAATACAACAACATTCTGTATCTCTCAAGGTTCATCATTGAAGAATATTGGAGAGGCCAAACGTAAAGTGTTTCAAGACTCACCTAAAAGGAGATCAAGATCCAGAAGTAATTGAAATTTGTGTTGTGTGCAGTTAGTTCATCATTATAAATAGCTATTGAGTGTACCTTTTTATGTAATCACCCACGTATCATAATCTCTTTATTTCTTCTCAGATGTTGTCGTCTTTGACTTTAGCGTTTTAATGGATCCCAAATTAAATATCTAAATACTGTAGTACTGAATTTTGTTCAATTTCCTCAGTGTCATATTGCAAGAAATGTAATTTGAATTGTACCTGTACCAGGTGTTACTAGTACATATATTTGTGTACATTTTCAGTTCTCTGCAAGTGAAAACATGTCAGTTCAATCACGTACCATATTTTAATTTAGAAAACTTTTTTATGCTGGCTTTTTGTAAATAGCAGGTTCTCCTGGAGCCATTTTAATTTGTTTGCAGATTCAGAGCTACTTTGAATTTAAGTTAATAAAAAGTCCTAAATCAATTGGATATGGAAAACAACCAATTTGACAATTCTGATTTTTAAGGTTGTTGCCTTTATTTAAATATTTATCAGAAATCAGTGCCATTGAAACAGCACACTTCTACCTATAGAACAAATTTTAAATGCTAACTTTTGTAAATGATTTTTAGATAATATGTCTGTGATTTGGGACTCTGTAATTTCTCCATATTAAACATACAATGTGGCCTCTCAAATTGGAAAGTACTGGAGGGTCAGTGTTACGAGTAAGTGTACTAGTTCCTATCATTCATCATAATGAACCAGACCATTTTCTAAGCCATTATCATACCAACTGTACCTCAAAATGATAGATAACTAGACGAAGTAAGTGGCTATGTAGAACAGTCACAGACCTTTTGTGTTTCAGTTTTACAATGAAATTAAGCAAATGAATTACAACAAATTCATGTACAAGAAGTAATCTTATTAAAACTAAGGTTTTGTTTCACAAAACACAAGTATAATGGAGTGTTTAAGGCCTTGGGTACACTTGTATGTTTAAAGATAAGAATTACCATGCAAGAAAAGGCCAGTGGTCCATATGATTGGTGATATCCTATCTCTGACAGAGGCCCCTTAATAGATGTCTTCAGTCTCCAGTACCTTCATCTATCTCCTTGGGAGAACTTAATGAAAGAAATGAGAGAGACACTCAGAACTTTGGTTCAGTGGAATAGCACTGTTACGAAGAATTAACAGTGGCAGCTTCATAGACCAGCTCTATTTTATTTGATAAACTACATATGTGGAAAGTTACATATTCAGATTTTAGACTAGAGTATATGCAGATGGATCTGTCTTACTAAGTAAGCTGATTATTTAGTAATTAGGAGTTTGGCTGCATTTTAGAACTAGCATTCAATAATAAAAAATAGACCCTAAGCATCAAGGGTTTAATCAAATTCTTTAATATTTTACAACTTTTTTTAAAGTAAAGATTTAAAAGAAATATAATTTTAGATTAGCTTAAGATAATTTCAAAGTGAGCTTTAGATTTTTTTCATGTAAGTTTCCCCCATCCCCCACCCCAAGGTAACTTACATGGAAATAAAAGAAACCAAAAAAAGAGGACAAAGGAACCTTCAGAAGATTTTGAAGTTCAGGAAGCACCTAGGAAAAGACTCAGGATGGATAAACAGAATAATCGGAAGGTAATTATATCATTGGTTTGTTTAAATTGATTATAGCAGCACCAAGCCCTCTGCTATAGTTAAGTTTGTCAGCATTTCCATTTTTCAGGAATTAATATTTACTGTTTTTAATTACATCAAATCAAGCAAATGTAAAGATGTCTCTTTGGATGCACTTATTAAAAAGATTTTGTTCATTTAGTGTTGAGATGGAAACATCTGAAAAGAGGTCCTTGCTAGTAACTTGAACTTATCTGAAAATATATACTAATAGAACTCAAATGCCATGGGAAGGGCTTGTCCACTGGTTTTCTTGGTTTACAATTTTCATCCTTTTTAATGTGTCAAAATATAGAGATATGAATGATACCATCATTTGTCTGAATCAAAGATTATGTCCTTAAAATAAAGTATGCACACACACTTTTAAGAATCACATTTAAATGTACAAAACACTGTAGGCTGCTGCATATATAACAACATATTGTTAAATAGTAGGCCTTTAACTGGCTCCTCTTCAGTGTCCAAATTGTTTGTCAGGATTAGATATTTCTTCTACTTCGAGTAGTGTCCATAAGGGTGCTCCATCGTAGATTCTCGGATACATCTAAAGTGGGGCACCCATTGGGATATACATCTCGAAGAATCATCTTTATAGCACAAGGTGAGTAACTTCTTTTATGGACTTCCCTAGATTTCACAGGATTCTGTTTATTGAAACTTCTGCAAACATATAGGCATGTGGATAGTCAGCAAATTCTCCCAAGACTAATTGTATGAGATATGCACATATGAAAGTGTTTCACAGATCAGGCCATAGTAATATAATAAATGAAGACTTACTGTAAAATAGGGTTGCGAATCCTGTAGAAGGAGCACTGTGATATAATGCTTAATAAGTAATTTGGAATCCTGGAATACATACATGAATGCTTTTGCTATACTTTAAGCTCCAGAAGGTCTCAGGCATAGCAGAATAGTTGCATTCTTACTACTTTGTATGAATCACCTTTTTCCTATTTCCTCCTCTGAGAAACGTATTATAGTTCCAGTTGTCCACTTTACCACCATATACAATTAAAAATTAGTTGTCATCCGGTATGAAGTGCTGAAGAGCATTGGAGCTGCGCTTCCCATTCTTTACATTAACTCACAGTGGCAGTTTTTAATATTCTCTGTCCTGGAGAGCAAGAAGCTTTGATATTGATGATGAAATTTTGCTCTTTTCAAAGGAGTAGTGTGTTGCTCTTGACATTTTTTGACCTTAGTTGTTGTTTATTACATTTAAAAGCCATAGAGCAAAATGATTAGGTAATACACTCATAGATTGTCTGAAAAATATGGTAGGTTCATTGATGTAACTTGTCATGCATATAAATATCACATTGGCACAATGCGAGCCTCATTAAAATAGCATAAATATATAACAAAAGCAAGGACATTTTCAGTGGAGAGTGAATGAGACCATGGATCTTCAATCATCTCGTTGTCTCAGTGATAGAAAGTTTACATAAATATAGACTTATTCAGTAAAGACTATGGCTTATGGAATGGCAAAACTGCTATTGGTTTCCATTAAGGGTGGTGGTAGCTGTTTTTCTTGTTTCGTTTTGTTTTTTTTTTTTTAAATCCAGTAGTCCTCTTCTTTCTGTGTAGTCCTGCCTTGAGGTAGTCTACAAAAACTTACCAACTCAACAATGGATTGCATGAGGAAAATCAGTAAAACTTAAACCTCCCTTACACAATCAAAATATATTGGCAGTTAGTTGTTTCCATAATGTCTGTCATGTTGATCAGATCTATATCAATTTAGGATCAAGCACAATCTACTGTTTGCATTATTTAATCCATGACTTGTAGTCAAGATATTCGTGACTACACCAGTTGCTTAAGTAACTATGGAAAATGCCCTATTTTTGACAAGGTTCAATGTCCATAGTCAAACAGCAGAATGTAAATTCCCCCATTTCTCAAAATACGTGGCCTAAAATATTTGATAAATTTCAGTCTGAAGCAAATTTATGCTATGTCAGTATTCCATTGAGAATATAATGGATATGCTAGGGGGGGGGGGGGGGGGGGGAACCAAACCATGCTATAAATAGTGAAGTTGAAAACAAGCATCTGAGACTTAAAATTCAGTGTATAGTTGATCCTCAAATTTATATATTTCTGCTGCAGTTCCTTAGTAATTTAAATGTTTTAACTTGATCAGTTTGGACAAAAGAATAATAAAGCTGACAGAAATGCTTTATCTTCACATAGCATTTTCCTTTTCATGCAGGGGGGCTCATAGGATAGACATTGAATACCAGTTTTGTTTTTTTTGTTTTGTTTGACAGTTTTATAGTCTCTGCTGTAGGTGGTTAATAAAAGATAAACCTGTCTGAAATGGAAACTTACCATAACTAAACTACATTAGAATATAGACCACAATGTTTGCAAAGACATTTTCTTTCTAATAACAGAAATCCAAAAGTAATTGCCACCTTTATCCAATCACTCATAAATTAGGAGTTTTTTTCTTTTTTCTTTTTTATTTTTTTGTGACAGAGGGAGACAAGCAATGACAAAACAGCAAAAACAAAGGTCACAGAAACCTTCTCTTCACAAAAGAACCAGTCAGGTAATGTGGTCAGAATAAGTTTTAATTAACTTTTTCTGTTAAATCATTGAAACTTAGCAGGTTGTCTGAGACAGCCATCTAAACTTTGAAGCCATATTAAGTTACTCATTAAACCCCAATTTGAGGGGTTGCACTCTTCTCTGCCAGCATTTTGCACTACTATATTTGATTTAAATTGTGTATTGCTGATTTTTAGCAGCAGTTCACAAGTTCATCATTTGATGGCACTAAATTAAAACTGTTGCCCATTGACATTGTAAAGTAACAATATAAACTTTGCTGCTCAAATGCATGATTCATTTTATATTTATTCAATAAAGTGTATATAGTAAAGAGTGACCATCAAACTTAAATTGATGTGTGATTCAAGAACTTCTTTTTAAACAGTTTGTTTGAGAGGCAGTGTGAAGAGTTGAGAGGCAGTTAGAAAACAATCGTGTGTGCTAAATGGTTCATTCATCAAATTTGTTAATCATGCACAGATTTAAGGTAACTTTTATAAGAACACCAGAACACATTTATTAACTCTTGCATTCAGTTTCAAAAGTGTTAATACACTGCAGTAAGACCTATACTAAATCCACATGATATTGTTGCCATTTTATAATGTAAGCATCCAGTTCCTTTATATTTAAACTTTTTTAAAAAGGGAATTTTTGTTAACAAAGTGAACATTTTCCTGAGATAATGTAGGCTTTTTAATGTAGTGTTTGAGCAAATTAGTGTTACGTCTCTTTTAAAAAGTAGTAAATCAGAGTATTGTAACAAAAAAAATTAGCACACTATTTGGGAAATCTTAAACAATTTATAGTATGTATTTCTTTAATTGGAGATCTCTTGAGTCTTCAAAACAGAATTCATTATTATTTCAAAAACTGATTTAGCACTTCTTACTTGGTACTACATAGATGCCCAGATGACATACCTAAACAATACCTTCCCACTGAGGGGCTATTTTAAATGGCTTCAAGGAGATAACATTTTAAAGGTCCAAACTTCACTTTGTAAACCAAAATTATTTTACAGCAACGAAAAATCTGTCTGATGCATGTAAACCACTGAAGAAGCGAAATCGGGCTTCAGCAGCAGAATCTTCAACTCTTGCTTTTAGCAAGAGTTCATCTCCTTCAGCTTCCTTAACTGAAAATGAGGTAAAAAAAAAAGGGGTATTCACACACGGCCATATAATTACAAAAAGTATCAGGTGTGAATTTTAAAAATATGCAAAAAAAAAAATTCTCTAATCATGCTCTGGATAAGTTAGTTCTGGCCTTTGTAAAACTTGTTATTGTGTGTATTGCAAATTCATTTATTGTAACAAATGTCTAGGTAGGGACTTATATTATTGTGGTTTTTAAATGTATTTACCAAAAAAGTTTTAGAATTGTAACCCTCTCTTAGAAGCAAAGTAAAATGTCAGTGTGTTGTGTATTTTCTTACAGATTTTATTTAATTGTGGACTATGTTATTTACATTGTGTAACAACACTGTCATGTTGCCATAGGTTTTATATTGAAGCAACTTTCTTCATCCTCTGTATTTGGTCTACATCAGTCTTGGTCAGTTTTCTGAGTAGTGGTATTTCATGCTCTCAATTGTTTTTGATCTGTTCAATTAGGTACTGTTTCTCCACAAGTAGCTTAATCTCCAGCATACTTTAAAAGGCAGTGAAGGATGTATCTTTTTGATATTTTAATGATCATAGTCTTAGGTCTGCATATTTGGTTCTGTAATTTTCCTCAATTGACCTATACTAATATAAGTGTATATTGATATATGATAAATGGAATCCAATCTACTGGTCTTCTGTACTATTAAAACAAACAGTCAAAGAATGATAGCAGGAGAACAAACTGTGTATGCTGTTCTAAAAGGGGATTCCAGACATTTAGCAGGAACCAGACATAGGCAACCTCAGCAGTTCATATTAAAATGTCAAATATTTTTTTTAAAAAATCATGAAGGTTTTAGGTTTGTCGAAGAGAATTGGTGTTTGCAATATAATAGGACTTTAAGCTGTAGTTCCTTTCACTTTTTTCATTTCACTATTTTGTTAAAAACGTAATGTGCTCAGATACCACGATGAGTGCATCTGGACTGTTTTCAGTAAATGACTTACTTTTACAAATAGGAATGACTGTACATTAACTGCTGTTTAGTTAGTTACTTACTTAATGTTTTATTCCACCTCCCCAACAACAAAAACAAAACATTCAGGAGGGACTGCCTAGGGTAATAGTCAGTTAATACTAGTTCTTACCTTTATCTGAATCAGCTGATTTTGTTCATTTAGCTTAAGTTTTCCACTTTTTTGGAGCAACTGTTGAGGTTATATACCTAATGTTGTATGTGTTTGTGGCATTTGACTTGTCAACCAAATCCATGTAAGGAGGAAATGTGAATCTGTTTGGTTTAAAATGTACATCTCTTGATATTGTTGTAATTTGGGAAGACAATCTCTGATTTCTAAATATCAATTAAAAATTCACTGTCCAGAGATCTTTCTTTGAAGGCTCAGTTGTTTTAGGACAGGAAAAATCTAGGGTCAAAGTCTCTTTCCACCTACAAATGATGGTGAGCCAAATTGTACAAGCACATGGGCTGAGTTGGAATCTCTTTGAAATGTCTACTGGAAATTCTTCATTGTGTTGCACATGAGATATGAGGAAAGAACAAGGATTAATACATATGGTCGTTAGAGCTGTGTTTACATAATACAGGTTTGCAAACAAGGAAGTGAGTTATTTTAACAGTTTCTGAGAGAGGTTGAAAAGAAATTGGACAACATTATCTTAAAATAAAGTTTTCACAAACAATGGCAATTTCAGAATAATGGTTATGTGCTAGATTCTTAGCTTGTGTAAATAACACTGACTTTAACTAACACCAGCTTAGGATTTGGCCTAGCGAGTTTTCTCTAATGATAGATATTGTGCCAGTAAATAAAGGAAGACACAGTAGGCATTGGCTTCCGAACTTACAAATGATTGTTCTGTGAAACAAAATAAGAATTAAATAAAAATCAGATTTTTGTAGGTGGGGTTTAAAAAAATTGTAACGTTACTTTAGTGCGTGCATGTTTGGCAGTGTAGACACGTGGCCTAAGGGTGTTAATAAACAGAAACATTTCCAAGTTGATAAAAGGAAAGGGAGTGTTTAAAAATCATTATAAAACAAAAATTGAGGTGATTAAGAATATTGATCTTTGTTTTTATGTAATAGTGATGCAAAGCTAATTGATAGAATGCAGTTCTTTGATAGTATAAATGTATTTGATGTTCTGACTTATATTTTTGTGGTCACTTTTATAGCTTAAGGTGTGAAGTTAGACATGCTCTTTAAGGTAGGTGAGAAAAATAGCACACACCCTGCTTACATATGCATGCACATCCACAGTTCAGTGTAGAAAAAATTCTGGCCTTCTTCCTCTTTCAATAGGTGACCATATATTGTTGCCGGATGGGAACCAGATTCAAATGCAATATTTTTCTGGAGTTCTTGGAAGCTACATTTAGGCCTCTTAAATCTGTCTTCATTGCTACTTAAGGAAGTTTAAAACCATGGAGAAAATATCTTGTTTTAATGAAAAGCGACTGTGTTGTTTTTTTCATAGAATTTACATGAATGATCAATTAAGTCAAAATTTTTCAACTTAATAGTGACCTTCGATGCCTAGATTGTGGGTGCTTAGACTTTCTAAAATGTAGGCTCTTTAAAGGTGTCTTAAGTTGAGCACCCAAAATCACTAGTAACTTTTGAAAATCGTAGGGTTGCATCATCAGATGAAACTTTATTTTTCATTCTTTTGTAATTATTAATGTAGATGAAAACTACTTATGCAACTAATTTTGAGACAAAAGTAGTTAATTTTCTGTATGTTCACTTGTTAGTAAAAATGTTTGCCTTTATATCCCATATGAAATGCTATTTTAAAACATGAAATTCTAAATGAATAACCTATTATGAAATGGAATTATAATTTAATAGTAACACTGCAAAAGCTCTAGAGAATGAGAAACATCTTCTGTATAATTATAGGAGAGCGTGGGTATAACAACATGAAAGCTTCATGATCTTTATGAGAAGACATTTAGTTATGTCATTGATCTCTTTTTAGAGGTTAAAACGAGTGTTTAGTTTTGCTTTCTGGTTCTTCAAAAATTGAGTAGATGAGTAAAGTTTTAAAGAATTGTATGTGGGTGCCCTTAGAGTGCAATTGGATTTTTAAAAAAATTAAAAAAGCAGCTCCATGCCCGTAGGACTGCTAGATTATTGGCACACATTTCAATATGCTTGAAATGAGACATACCTGGTTTTAACTTTTCAGTTAAATTTGATGGATATCAATTACTTGGATATAGATATGCATGTAGTAGAAGATGTAGATACTTTCCATAAACATTGATACAGACAAGCAGAAAAAGAAGTATGGGGCATAGAATATTCTGTCGTCTTAGCCAGGTTACCATTTCTCACACTTGGGAACAATGAATTGAGTTGGCTGTCTCTCAGCAGTTTAAAGAAACCCCTGAAAAGGTTTTGCTAATGCAAGAAGGTTAACAGTATTATAGTAATACTGTTAAAACATTTTTTTTCCTCCTCTTATGGAGAAAACTCTATAGCTTCTTAACACCCTTTATCAAACAGGCTGTACTTCTGTTCATAAACATAACATACCATATTTAGAATTAAACATTATTCCAAGACAGCGACTTCAAGTTGTAATGTTTTTGTATACAGTAAGAAATTATATCATTATTAGTTTGTGGCAGATTTGTTATATCTGTTTTTACTGGTGTTAGCAAATACACACAAAGGAGAAATCTTAAGACCAAGGTAAGATATTTAATTAAGACGATAATCTTCAGAAAATACATGTAACTTTTATTAAAACAAAGCTTGAATTCCATTTATCTACACATGTCTAATTTTACTACAGTATTCAGGTAGAGTTCTCAAAATACAATGATTAAAAACATTGTACTATCTGAAGAAATTAGTGTGCTAACCACAAAGTAGTTCAAGCTGTGCTTACAGATCTAGAAAACTAAATTCTCTATTTCTAGCACTGTGTTTTTCTAGATTCCCTTTTAGATAATCCCCTCTGAAAACCATATTTAAGAATAAACCAAAATAGAAAACATGGGTTGTCTTCTATAACCTGTAAATCCAGTGTCTACTAGAGTTTATTTTTTGTCTTTATCCAGTGCGCATTAGTAAAAAATGTTGAGAGGGGAGGGATATTAACCTTGTTATAGTCCCCTCCTCCCCCCTATTTCATGCCACCAATAAACATCTGAAATATTACGATTTTGGAGGATCATTGCAAGTAAAAGAGTTTTAGTCTTTCACTACTTAACATCACCCAAAGCCTACAGTAACTGAAGAGACCTGCATTGTCTGTCATATCTTAGTGCTTTTGGATGCTTCCACGTTCACATGAGAAAGTTCTAGGGTTGAATGTTGTTCTTTGGCAACACATTTAAATAGAAAATTGAATTTCTCATGTATTATTTTTATTTTGTAAACTCTTTGGACTCCAAAGGCTGAGATTCTGTTTATAACGTGTTCACATAATATAGGTTTTTATCCCACATCCATCCCAGCAGTGTCTTGAATTCCTCTATGCAATCAACAATATTAAATAAAGTTCTCAGTTATTTGTATTGCAGGACTATTCAGAAATGCATACCTTATCTGAAACTTCAGGCTATTGCTAATGGTAAAGGTGGAACGTGTCCAAGACCAACTTTTTAATTCCATAGTACAATGTACACTTTTGGCACAGTGTATTCAGAGAATAGCCTATCCAGTTTAATAGTTTGGGCCAAAACAGAATTCTTCAGTTCAGGATCTCCTATACTGAAATAAAACAAATGTTACCTCAACTCAGTTGGCTCTGTCAGTTTTTCTGTCTCTTTCCACAATAGATATTTGTCTTCTGAATACAGTCTGTCATTTTGCATGTTCAGTTGTTTGATTCCAATATCAATTTTACTTAAGACTGAAAAACCATGATAGTTGAGCCATTCGAAAAGGTGAAGAAACAATTAAAGTAAAGTATTACCATAGAAAACATCAAAGAGTTTTGGTTTGTCAGAAAAATCAGGCCTTGTTTACATCTAAAAATTTGATTGACCTAATTACATTG